AGAGAGATCTGTGTCTGCAAACTTTAACAATTCTTGACCAACATGTGGTTGTAACGAATATTGACCATCTTTAATATGCATGCCCAAGAAATCAATTTCAGAGACTCCAATAACCATCTTTTTCTGAGAAAGCATTACTCCAAATTATTTTGTCAGATCAGCGAATTGAGACAACAGTTGAGAATGAGAATCGGCATCTTTTGAGAACAAGAGAATATCATCAATATAGATTAATGCTGACTCTAATATTGGATGATAAATTCTTGTGATAGCCTTTTGGAACAATGAGGGGGCCGTCTTAAGACCGAATGGCATAACCGTCCATTGATAGTGGTAGTTTGGGATACAGAAACCTGTCTTATGCCTTTCATCTTTCTTAATTCTCAATTGCCAAAATCCCGCTTTTAGATCAAACTTTGAAAATATCTACGCCTTGGACAACTGGCAAATAAAGTTCTTTTGTTTGGAAGAGGGAACTTGTCATCAGCAAGGAAGTGATTCAATGGTTTATAATCAATCACAAGTCTCATTTTTCCACGAACTTGTTCACTTCTTTTGTTGACATAAAATGCTTGGCATGCCCATTGAGAAGTAGTAGGTTCAATGAGACCTTCATCTTGCAATTGGCTTAACTCTTTGGTTGCTAACTGGAGGTGTTCAGGGCTCATTCCAATATGGCTGGCTTTAGTAGGGTTAACGTCTTCATTTCTTTTGAAAGGTAGAGCTATGAAAAAATCTGGATTTTTCCATAGAGGGTGAGTGCATTTGGTGAGAAAATCTATGTGAGAATCTGCACAACATTCTCGGATTAATAGACTTGTTATATCATCAAGGCTGGTTATGAAAAAATATGTGGTTGGCTGTATGTATGGCAGAAAGTAGGACTTGTATCTAAGGCCATTTGGAAGAGGAATAACACATTTTGCCCACAATTGTCGAATGATGTCAAAACCAATTACAATATCCTTCCCTGGTAAAGATGATCCAAGTAACTTGTGTGAGACATTACATTTAGGAAAAAACTGAAGTGTCACTGGCTTACTTATCAACTCTGTTGAAAAATACTCATTATTGGCTGCCTGGAATATTTGCTGCTATGTTTTCCACATGTCTTTGGGGAGAATGGCTGGATTTAAGATTGACCAAACTGCTCCAGTGTCAAACAGACCTGCAACTGTGATTGGTCTTTCATATTTTCCTGGAAATATTTTGACTTCAATCATCAGAACTGGAAGACTAAGATTGATTACTTACATTCTATAGCATTCCTCTATACTTTCATAGCCATTAGTGCTCTCATCATCGGAGTCAAATTCCAATACGAAGACAGTTTCAGGGGACTGCTCATCTTCTTCAGAGAATACTAATTCAAGGTCCGCTTCTTCTTCCACTTTCGTTGCTGTATAGATTTGGTGTAAAAAAATTTCCTTCTTTTTGTTGGTACAATTTTTTGCAAAATGGCCCTTCTTTCCACAGATAAAACACCTGTCTCCCTTTTTCTTTGTGAATTTCCTTTTAAAATATCTTCTTCTTCGAGGAAAATATTTGGAAAATCTTTTGTTCCGAAATTTGAACCTCCTACTGTGGAATTTTTTCTTTCCTGGACAATCACAACTCTTGTTATCATGTCGGCACTTAATCTTCAAATCTGGCTGATCACACGCCTTTTCAAGCTTCTGTCCTGTTGTACTGATATCCTTTAAAAACTCTCTTTGATTGCAGAGTTTTTTCAAGGTTCTCTTGACCCAGTTGTGAAGCTCTCCAAATGAAGTGGTTCCCAATGATTGTCCTTTTATTTCAATCATTCTGAGTGTCTCTTGACCAAGAGGCTGTGAGATGGACTCTAAGTAAGCCTGCTTTATATTTGTATCGTCCATTCCACCAATGAGGTAGTATCGCCTGGCAGCATTGTGGAAATGTTTATCCAGATCTTTAGGATTGTAAGAACAACATTTCAATTTGAAGAATTCTTCTCTTGCAATATCCTTCAAATGATCCGTCTTTCCACAGAATTCCCAATATGATGATTTATGAAAGCATCTATTGTTGGGGAGTTAGAATATTGGATTTGGCGATATTCTCCAAGAGCATCATACCAATCTTTTAAGAACCCAGTGATTCTTGCCAGAAAAGGTTTGGCCTTTGTAATTCTGCTAAACACCATGCTTTCATTTCTTGAAATCTTGCTTTCCACAAAGTTGGAGGAATATCATCAAAAGTGAATTTGGTTGCTGAAGTACTATTTTGTGAATAATAATTGTTCACAACATGAGGATTAACAATTTCTTCATCAATTATTTCTGGCTCATCAACAACAGGAATTCCTTGTTGAGTTTGATTTGATTGTGGTCTGTCAGCCATATAAAAAGGAGGATGATCTTCTAGAAATTCATCTGAGCATTCTTCAAGTTCAGAACTAGTTTCATTTGGGATGGTTAAAATAGGAGTTATAGAGGAACGGTTTTGAGTTTTTTGTAGGAAAGTGGTTATGGGGTTTTTTTTATCATCATTTGTGGTCTTTTTTCTGGGTTTAGTGGAGGTAAAGCTTGTAGATTTTGTGAGGCTAATGGTTTGGTTTTCTTTATATCGAGATGAGAACGAGGTGTCAATTTCTTTTCCCATTCTTCAGGAGTGAAGAGTGAAGATGTGGATTCATAAGCTCCTGTTGAATACATGGGTCTTGAAGTTTGTGATATATGAGTATATGAGATAGGGTGATATGGAGTAGAAGGTGGGATCATGGAATTGTTTTCAAGAGAAATGAGTTGTTTTTTGAGATTTCTTATTTCTCTTTCTTGATCTGTTATGGGTAAACGGTTTTGTAAAAGGGTCATGATTTCAGCATGGGGGGTTTCAATCTTTTGTTTACAGGCTTGAAGAGGGGTTAATAGTGTTTGTGCTTGTTGTTGTAGAGTCCTTTCAATTATTTGCTGATTTTGGTCAATTTTTCTCAACAGGGAATTTTGTTGGACTGCATTTTCTGACTGCTAGTTTAAAACTGCTTCTGCTGCTGAAAACTGATCAACTGAACCATCCGATTTTCTGGATATGAGATTCTTGATCCTCCAGGCATGAGTTGACTGCTCTTTGTCAAAAGAGGACAATGGAGGAAACTCTTCTTATTGAGGAGGGTGGAACATAACTATAGGCATAGCTATCTGAGGAGATGGAGGTGGACTATTATCCCAGTCCCATTTTTTATGTAGTTGGTTGCAATCATTATCATCATCATCATCCCAACCAGTAGGAATAATAGATTCATCACTTGTAGGAGGTGGAGTGTACTTGACATAATAGTCAAATTTTTCAGAGGGTTCTCCTAACAAATCAACTCCTGCAGATTTGTTTTCATATGCTTCACGCAACTTTTGTTGGCTATTCTTCTTTTTTTTCTTCTTCCTGGAAGGACGATCGTTAAATAGATCTTCTTCATCTTGTATGCATTTCGCACAAAAACATACATCCCAATAAATATGTCCTGAGTTATTAGATTTGCAATAAATTGGCCTGCCATTTGCATCAAATCCATAAATGAGAATTTCTCCATTGGAAAAAGCAAACTGTGTTGGAAAACAGGGAGGCTTTTTATTTGCAGGTTCTTTTTGAAACATGATCTCAACTTCGCCATTTGACTTTCTTCTGAAATGATGAGTTGCTGATTGTATGGGCAGAGAGTCTTTTGACGCCTGGTGATGTTGCTCATAACTAGTAACCCAGGTTTGAGGGATCAATTTAATGAGCTCGGATCTAGGAATCTGTCTAGGGACATATGTACAACTTGGCTGATCTGTTCCCATCTGAATTAATAAAGCATCATCCGTCCCATTAGGAGTGGCAAAATCAAGAGAGTGATTTTGAATTCTGTAAGCCATCTGGTAATGAAGTGTTGCTCCATATGTGACTGCTGTTGGAACTGCTCCAACAATTTGGACATGGATTTTTAAAGCTGATAACAATAATGGATCTGCAATTGGCATATTAAAATTTGGAAACATAGTAACAAGTACTGTTCCCACATTGAGTGTAGTTTCCACAGTGCCAATACATGCATGTTGATAATCAGCAAATCGTGTATCTAGAAGAGCAATTCTAGAAACAGCCGGGAGACCTTTTCTTCCATGGAGGGTAAGTGCAATTCTTACAGCTCCAAAATGAAGATGGGTAAAATCTTCAGATAACCATACTTTTGGAAGATGAGATGGTAAATCTAAGGTAACAAACTGCTCCTTTTCAGTAGCAGGTAGAAGATGCTAATCAAACTTTGAAGCCTGAACATATTCTTGGATTTGGGATTTTGATGATGAAATGATACTTTTAACAGTTTTGGTGAAGGAATTTCGGGGTTTGTTATATGGAAGGTAAGGATTGACAAGAGGTAGATCTGTAACTGGGATTTTTTCAGATTCAGGTAGGTAAGATATTTCATAAAGGGAGTCGATTTTAGAAGCATTAGATTTTCGAAAGGAGGTGGAGGGTGCTAATATAGATGAACTAGAAGATTCAGACATAATTTTTAATGTGTTCTTCCTAGTTTCTTTCAAATTGGATAATTCCAATCAGAATGATAAGATCAAGATAACAACATGGCTCTGATACCAACATAGTGGGGGTATGGTAAACACTCTGTATTCTAACCCACAACCAGCCCTTTTTTCCATATTTTTATTTTCAACCTCTATTAATTAGTACATATTGTCTAAGATGATGACAAAAGATGCGGGAAGTAAAAAGATTTATTTATTAATATTTTTAAATAGTAAAATAAGAATAAATATAAAAGTTGGACAAAATATTTTCGAATTTGCTATAAGTACATAATTTTTTGATAGAAAAATCTTATAGACAACGTATGGCGCGATATCATTGAAAGACGAGAAAAAAGAAGAAAAACGATTCACTTACATTTTGCCACATCAATATCGGTACAAATTCTGTTAAATTTTTATCTGTATATATGAATTTATTGAAATATTTTTACCACAATTCAATCAAATTTGTCAACCCAGCCCAACGACCCGGTTTCCGCCTAGGGCCTACCTTCTTCGAATTAACTGGAGATTAGAAGAAAATAGTAGGAAAATAGGAGGGAAGAGGGAGCAGATTACAGAAAACGGAAGCCTGAAATTGTGAAATTCTCAACCTTCAAATAATTCAGAAGAAAATTATTAATCAATCAAAGAAGAAGAAGAAAAAAGAATTACAGATGCTGCCAACTTCATCATCAACAAAAGCCCGATCGGGTTCTCATGTGGCCCGACCCAACACTTTCCTCCCTCAGTATCTCCGCAAAATAGTCAAGGTTCCTCTTCGTCCACCTATTTCGTGCACGATTTCCAACTATGAATGTAAAGATGTTAATCATGTTTATTGGAATTTTGCTGGAGTATAGATCTGATCTTGATCTCGTAAGTAAATCATTTAGCTAAATTGTTAGGATTCGAATCTAATTGCATTAAAACAGCACTATTCAGATCATTCATTTGGGGGGTGAATGAGGAATTATAGCTCGGTTAAGTATTGTGGTTTTCGGGTTTGTTTATGGCGAAGGATGTGGGAGGAGTTCAGTAGAAAGGGGGATAAATGATGAAAGCTTATTTTATTATGTCAATTCTGTTTTTTGATTTGAGGGATTTGAAATGTTAAAGACTGGGATATATATATATATATATAACTCCATTCTGTTTGTTTGCTGTTTTAACCGAATAATGAGAGGTGAACAGTATATTTCAATGAACAAAGTGCTCACTTTGATGCACTTCAATTCTGCTGATCAAAAAGTGGGTTCACCTGGTTCTGTGACCTAGTAAACATTAATGTTTTACGTGGTTGAGCAGTTAAACTTGTTGTAGACTTGTAACCTTTGCGAATCTGGTTAGTTGTATGTTGGTGAATTCTGAACTTGATGAAGATTGTTCAAGAGCTTCTACTTACGCTTTTATGAGCTGTTCTATGGTTTTTTCGTTGTGTGTATACAGTTCCTTCTATTATTGTAATTTTCCCTGAGTGATATTCACTTTTTATGGTTCATTGCAGTGGCAACAAATGGACATCGAATATACTTTCTGGCAAATGCTTCTCCTTTGCACATCTCCAAAAGTAGTGTATGTGGCTCTATGGGCAGTTTTAGTCATCTATAATTATTACAACTGCTATGTGGTATCTTTTAAAATTTAATTATTATAAGCTTCTTAAGCCTTGTAATGATTGTTATATATGGAGTCTGATCGAGATATTTTGAGACTTTTGAAGTAGTACTTGGCACTTCTGGACCTATGGAAAAGGGCCTTGTCGGCCACCGCTTGCTGACGACGGAACGCATCGTCAAGACCTTGTTCCTACATGACATTGAACCTATCTAATTGTTTGGATTTAAACCGATCTTTTAATATTTTATCCCATGTAAACATTATGGGATACTCACAAAAGAGGGGGCTTGTGAAATATTTGTAAACCGAATACTGGATTTGAAGGAGCTGAAATTTGAATTAGAAATGTCAAGTATTACCTATAAAATGTGTGACAGTTTGCATGGTACTTCTGATATTGTCCGCATGTATTATTAGTGGTTCAACGATATCCAATAGTGAGAGATGACATGCAATTGAATAAACTATTTCCCGTGCTCACCTCATGTTGTGCCCCTCATTTAAAGTTATAGAACAAACAAGTTATTGATAATTTAAAATTTATAATTAACATCATGCCATCATTTTATTCTTTTTAAAGACCTTTTGCACTCATGTTTAATAAAAGACCTTTTGCACTCGTGTTTACTATTTTTTGTAGGAATGTTTTGCTTCATGTTGTTATCATCTAAGAACGAAGTTGTTCGCATAAGATACGAGAGCATTTAGAAAAATTTATTGTGTCTTACTGAGCAGATTCATATTGATTTCATATTTCTCCCGTTGACTAATTGTTTTCTTTTAACCAACAATATTTCTTCTCCTGCCCTATTGTGTTACAGTACAATGTTGGAAAGGGTTATTTGCTGTATTTGGCAAACATTATTTGAACTGGTTATAAATTATGGACTAAATAATCTACACTCTAGAAAGATTGAGACTCTTATAATGCTATATTTATATCTTTTAAGCTGATATGTATTATAATGAATAAGTTGGTCCATGATTATTTTCCTCTTGGCCCTAATTGATTTTGTATTTTTTTTAACGATATGTTGTGGTGTACTATGTACTAAAAGTTTGATGACAAAAGTTATGTTGCTTGAAATAGAACTAATTCTGGGATGGAGATGAATAATTGTGGTTCTGGATGAAGTTTGTTGGTTGTATTATTGAGTTTCTGATTATTTTTTTTCTCCGTTTTGCATGAATATATTTACAACGGATGCAGATATCAACACACCAAATACCACAAGCGTAAGTCTGCTTTTTTTAATCTCTTTTGCTACAGCTATTTGCTTGGAGTGATCCTTCCCTCGCACCAAAATTTTTATGTATTCCTTCATCGAATTCACCGACCATGCATTTTTATTATATCATTGTGCCAAATATTTATGTCTTAGGGAATCATTGCAAGTCTAATATGATAAAATATAGATTGTGTTCTGAATAAATCCTATAAATTGATATCGTACGAATAAATGTTCTATGTACAAAAGCTTTTTATGACGAAAGAAATATTGTTATATAGCATGTCATACTTCAGTAAATTTGACCTATGTTGTGAAGTTTTTGATCTTGCAATTGCAACATATGAGCAACTGCAAGCGTTGAAGTTTGCCAAATATTGAAAATTTGCTTGATCAAACTATGCTCCACTTTTGGCCTTTGCATCATTGACATCCAGAATAACTTTACATAGAATGTGGTCCGTCTCTGTTGAAATCAAGAGGTGGCTGATAAATGAGAGTCATTAATCAAATTCAAATGCACGCAAGAGTTTTCTTTCAAGTGGAGAAAGTCCAGTTATTGTATAGGATTTTGGTTCTTTATGATCTTTTTATTAAATGAAATTGAGAGGTGGCTGATAAATGAGATAGCCCCTGAGGCTATCATTATAATTTTATCTTCAGTCATTAATCAAATTCAAATGCACGTAAGAGTTTTCTTTCAAGTGGAGAAAGTCTAGTTATTGTATAGGATTTTGGTTCTTTATGATCTTTTTATTAAATGAAATCGAGAGGTGGCTGATAAATGAGATAGCCTTTGAGGCTATCATTTTAATTTTATCTTCAGTCATTAATCAAATTCAAATGCACGCAAGAGTTTTCCAGGGGCTATCATTTTAATTTTATCTTCAGTCATTAATCAAATTCAAATGCACGCAAGAGTTTTCTTTCAAGTGGAGTAAGTCCAGTTATTGTATAGGATTTTGGTTCTTTATGATCTTTTTATTAAATGAAATCAAGAGGTGGCTGATAAATGAGATAGCCCCTGAGGCCATCATTTTAATTTTATCTTCAGTCATTAATCAAATTCAAATGCACGCAAGAGTTTTCTTTCAAGTGGAGAAAGTCCAGTTTTGTATAGGATTTTGGTTCTTTATGATCTTTTTATTAAATACTTTAATTGTTTGAGGTACAGGTTCTATTACATGTGGCCGTTGAGAGTTTTTTGCTTTCTTAGTGTAAATGTAATATGTGCCTTTTAAATAGATTTAAATTACTAAATGTATCTATCTTTTGTGTAGAATTTAACTTAAAAATTAACAAAGTGAATTTGAAAGGAAGTTTGATTCCATACTTGTTTGGGCAAGTTATCCATTCACACAGGGTCATATGAAATCTGTTGGAACCAATAGTTTCTTTTCCCAGCGAGCTAGCCAAGTATGCTTATCAGTCCTGACTTATGCATGCACTCTCATCTCAGGGATGAATGGATCTCATCTCACGTTTCCTTTTCGAACTTCATGAGATATTAGTTGCTGCGCTAGTTTGTGTAGTTGCCATTTGTCAATATAACTACAGTATAGCATGACTATGTGTGTAGATGAACCTCACCTCTTTACAGTTTGATGCTTTTTGCTGCTGATGAAGGATTTTAATGTCACGTCAATTGATATTTGCCGTTTGCTTTTCTAGTTAGTGCATGATTGACGTAGTTTCCTTTGTGCTGATTTCATCCTTTGTTTTACCTCTTTTAGAATACTTTGATGGTTATTTTGTTCTGATTCTCAATCTAAATCTAAGACATGGGACATATAATTTGCTAGATTTAACTATTATCTTTTTGGTTCTAGCTGTTTTATTACATTTTGATTACAGAAACGAAGAACCAATGGGCACGTGATGACCCTGCATTTGTTGTAATATGCAGTCTTCTTTTAGCAATATCTACAATAGCTTATTGTGCCGCGTAAGTGTCTTATAATTCATTTTACTGCTTATTTGCGGAGTTTGATTTGACAGAACTTATAGGAAATCTCAACGCGGATTCGGATGGTTTATATTTTAAGCAAATATATCTGAGATATCTACTATAGAACTGAAATAAGCCATTATGCTTTTCATGATGCAAATTCTTTTCTTTTCTCCGTTTGAAGACAACTTTCTGTGTTGTTTCATCTCTATTGTCCAATTTTTTGTTGTCTCCTATTAGATATCTTGTATGCTGATACTTATCCTCTTTGTATCTTGCTATCTGCCATTTGTTTCAGCTATGATCACAGTGCTGGACATGCTGCTTTCGTGGTTATTTCAGTATTGCTTTTCCATTTCTTTATAACAGGGGGGCTTGTAGCAGCATTTTTTTGGTAAGGATCTCTTCAATATTTATAAAGAGATAAACCTTATGATGGGCAAGTCTTAACATTTAAAGTCATAGGTATTATTCAATCTGGCCTACATTCCAGTCGTCTTCTCTAGGCCAGTGTTCTAAATTTGTTAATGTGGTATTAGAGGCCATTTTAGATGTTTATCTTATTGAAATTAAGAGACGACCATCTCTCTGATCGCGAGGATTTAAGAACAATATTTTTGTATTTATATGGGATTATATTGAGTATCATTTGATGACTTGAGAAGTATTTTTAGCAATTTTATTGAGGACAAGGTTGCATAATGGAAAATTCATTCGGTGAATTCCATGCAGGTTTGTTACTAACAATTATCTTCGAGAAGAAGTCCCAGACAGTCACGTGGTGGAGCAACGGGTAGAATGGTAAGATGGATGATGCAGTTGCTTATCTGAATTGGTATTATTAGGTACCTTACAGAACTGGGGTTTCTTTGCTAACTCATTTTTCATCCCCATCTCTTTTAAGGTTGTATGCTTTTGATGTACACTGCAATTCTTTCTTCCCCATGTTTGCGCTTCTTTATGGTTAGTACATCGTCCAAATGCATTCCTTATTATATAGTTTTTTTCTCATTTAAATAGACACTGAACTTCTATTCACGTGTTGTTCTCTTTGAAACAGTTTTACATTATTTTCTGTCCCCTCTTCTGGTAGCTCATGGTTTTGTTCCTGTGCTTCTATCGAATCTGCTATTCATGGCAGCCATTTCCTACTATCATTATCTGAATTTTCTAGGCTATGATGGTAAGATAAGTTCTACTGGAAAAACTTTGATTCAAAGATATTCTAAAGACTTGTATTCAATAATTATACATAGAAAAATGAGAAGCATGCAAGAAAGGGGCTCGTGTTGAGAAGAAATGTTTTATTGTCAAAATTTACTGATAATCTCTTGTTCGTCATTCAGTATTGCCATTTTTGGAGAGAACCACTTTTTTCCTGTATCCAATTGGTGTTGCCATTGTTCTATCTCCTATCTGTAAGTATTTTACGACACATGTTTGCTATACAAAGTCAATTATTGCCATGTAGATGAATATTATTTATTTCTTACAGTGATTTTGAGCGGCTTCAACCCATCAAGATACTTTATGAACATGTACTTTAGTCGATTGCTATAGATGCAGCTAGCAGGCACTTCGTACAGTTGACGTATTCATTTAAGCATGCTTCTGTTGTACAAGGAAGAAGACCAGAGCGAGCCAGCCGATATTCCCAGAGTTAGTCTTACCTATTGAGAAATTAGATTACTGAAATTGTTACATATTGATTTTGCTTTTCGTTTCTGTAACCTGCTTGAGACGAATATTAGTGAAATGCTACTGCTATCGAAATGATAGCGATGTATAGTTGCCAACGTCTTAAAATTTATCGAGTCGAATCTGAAACGGCCGTGTGCTACCATTTTTCTTGAGATTTAGAGAATATTTCCTAATCACACCTACTATAAAACTGATTATGCATGAGTCAAATATTACGACTTAGCTTGTATCAGGTCATGTTTGGTATCTTTCGTTATCAAGCCCCATCAATTTATATATAGCAGATACTCTTCTAGAAAGAGTCTAGTCGCAAATGAGGCCACGTAGTGTTTGCATTATTAGTTATATTATTTGTATTTATGATGTTATTTTATATTGTTTAAAGGGTAGAATTATAGTTTTACTTGTTTGGTTATGATAATTTAGTCATTTTGCTTAGTAGACTATGAGCCCGTTTGGTTCTTCAAAATGTATTTTTCTCTCTCTTTTTTTCAACTGCACATTCTTTATTAAAATAATATTACAAGTAAATGAAAAACTTTTTTTTATTTTTTAATCACACACTTCATATCAATTTACTATTCTAAAATGTATTTTTACATAAAAATGTCAATCAAACACCCATTATATAAACCCATTGAATTCCTAATGAGCACCGTTGCTCAATCTTATGTTAAGCAATGGTGACGTCATATTTATCTACTGGTAGATAAGGATTTTGTGGGTCCCAATAATTGAATTAAACTTGTTATCTACTAATAAATTAATATGACACCCTATCCGTGTTTATCATAAGATGAGCATCGGTGTTCATTAGATCAGTCATATGTATCCTTATCATTAGATCATTCACGTGTATCCTTATTCTTACATAATCTTGATTGTATGAAACCCTAGCTGATTTTGCTCTCTAGATAATAGAGGGATTGGAGAAATTGGACAAAACAGACTCGCATTTCTCATTGAACAAATATAGGAAAAAAGTTATATTGAAAACTTTCCTAATCCACCTTGGTGGAACAACTCTTAAACCATTCAATAATTTTTCGTCCTCTACAAGAAAATCCTGGCTCCTCCAGTTCTACGTCGTCAAGTTAAAGACTAAACTCATAATCATTTGGACATTCTCAGCTAGATTGAATTGAAGGAGAACACGCCAACAACTTCAAAGTATAGATTATATTGTCCAAGAAGTAAACAAAACGAAGATTTCATTATGTAGGAAGGTAAAACAGAACCCATCACTCTCAATTTTGCTTGGTATGCACACTCTTAGAAAAAATAGAAAATCAACAAGTAATGCTCGTCTTTTTCCATGAAATTTTAAGTCTCTTTAGGTTCCATTATGTGTTTTTATTAATCGAGTTTGCTGCCAGCAACATCGACGACAAATCTGTACCTAACGTCGTTCCTTTCCAACCTCTCGAACGCAGTGTTTATGTAGTCCAATTTAACAACTTCAATAGTTGAAGTAACGCCCTTCTCCTTGCAGAATTCTAGCATTTCCTGAGTCTCCTTGATGCTCCCAACAAAGCTTCCAGTGATCATCTTCCTCCCTGCGTTCGTCAATAAAATCAAACATTTTGGATACTCGTATTTTGGATACTCGTGAACAGCCCACGAGCATTAAGGAGAAATGGAGCTGTTCTAATGGAGAAACAACAGATGAAAAAACTCGAAACTCACCAAGCATAACCATGGGGGTGACGAACTGCAATGGAGTATTTATAACGCCCATCAAGATTAACTTTCCATCGACTTTCAACAAAGAAAGGTAAGGCTCGAGAGGATGAAAAACTGGGATCGTGTCGATGATGTAATCTAACGAGTCGACAAGCTCTTGCATCCGACTGGAATCAGAGCTAACGAGGTACTCGTCTGCACCAAGGTCTTCCAATGCTTCCACTTTCTTCTTGTCCGAAGAACTGACCACGGTGACATGATGTCCCATGGCTTTTGCTATCTTCACTCCCATGTGACCGACCCCTCCGAGCCCCAGAATCCCGCCTCTTAGGCCACTCTGTTTGAGGCCGAAATGGTGCAGGGGGCTGTACACTGTCACCCCGGCACAGAGTAGAGGCGCTGCCTGTTCTGGTGCCATTCCATCAGGAATCTTCACAACAAACCTGAAAAAGAAGTATAATCATGTACAAACTTGAATAAATAAAAACTCTTCACTTGAAAAACTAAGATCAACTCAAGAAAGTTCAGAAAAATTCTTCGATTTATGATATGCGTACTTGATAATAAGACATGAGGGGATACATAAAGAGAAGAACCCTGCTACCTGTATAGAAATTAGAGTCATGCATCTATCATTCTACTTCTACAGATTCATCTGTACAAGTAGAATAATTCTAAAGAGAAACCCGAATTCTGGTCATATCAAACTAATCATATACATGAGTAACTAACATCCTACTCGAATATTAGTTAGTTAAGATCGAGAAGTATGAATAGGTCGTGTTGATGCTTACTTTTGATTAACGACCATGGCGCCAGCAAATCCTCCTTGTGTGGGATTGCCATCTGTGTAGACATCATTGTACGACCAAATCTTCTTGTTGCAGTACTGCTCGATTTCTGATTTGCAGGGGTGGCAGTTCCCGCAGCATCCTACCAGACAACCGACTCCAACGACCTCCCCGGATCTGAACTTGGTTACGTCTGATCCTACCTCCACCACCTCACCTACTACTTCATGCCTATCCAGCAGCTCAAAGGTACAAGTACAATAATTCAGCACAAAACATTAAGTCCGTGTTTGGTAATCAGTACTGAAAATTAATGAACATGATTCTTTAATCTTATCTACCAAACATGCAATAGATGTACATAAAAATTAAGGTTGGAATATGTAGTTGTCTTATCATTATCATATCTATCATGATTCATGAATGGCTGTTCATAAATATCACCAATGGTTAGAGAATTTTGAATAATAAAGTCATATAATTAATTATTCTATTTAAGGATTGTGACCTATGAATTATTGAACTTTAAAGTCATACAAAGGACTAAATCCAAAATAACATGGTTGGTATTGTCAAAAGATGGATCACTTGGACTTTTTATCAGTTGGATGCATGAATTATTTTTCGCAAATTCATTGATTCCTAGCGTGCTACCTCGACCCTCTTCCTTTACCGCGATGATCTTCACATGGCCAAACAACAAGAAGCAAACGATTTAAAAAATAATAATATGCTATGAGAGGGATAATAAAGTGTAATACCCAGGAACCATGGGGTAATTGGACATGCCAAGATCATTCTTGACTTGATGAATATCACTATGGCAAATCCCACAGCTTATCACCTTCACATAAACATCTTCAGGACCAGTGTTCCTGTTGATACATTTCCCAAACAAAAAGCCAATATTAATTACTAAATTCCATTGTAAACTCAAAAAGATACAAGACACAGAACGAGATTTTAACTTCTTTTTCTTCCTTAAATTGTTGATTATTGTATTGTCAGCTCACCAAAAAAAAGACATAATATTGTCCAATCCTTCATGCTGAACGCGGCATAAGGGTTTGAATCAAATTACCTGAGAGTGTAAGTATAGGGTGAGAGAATCCCAGAAGGGTCTTTTGCAGCCCAACCTGTTGTTGTTCTCTCCACCTCCACACTGACCATAACTTCAAATTTCTGTATGTTTTGCAGAGTTACTAAAAAGAATGAATCTTGAGAATTAGAGATGATGGATTTATCTCTCTATATATAGACAAAATGATATAGCTTTGAAGGAAAGAATTGAGTTAATTGTTCCAATGGTCACTGAACTTAGGTCCATGTTGTTGATTAGTCATTGAAATTTAAAATGTCGAGTTTTGGTCACTGAACTTAGGTCAAAGTGTTCGATTGCTCACTGAACTTAGGTCAATGTTTTTGATTGCTTACCGAACTTAGGTCCATATCTTTGATTGATCATTGAAGTTTAAAATGTCGAATTTTGGTCACTAAATTTAGGTCTATGTCTTCATTGCTCACTAATGTTTAAAATGTTAAGTTTTGACCGCTGAATTTTGGAATATGCCGTATTTACTCATTAGCATAACTGTTGAACTTTGAAAAATATTGAGTTCACAGTGAATAATGTACAGCATTTTTCAAAAAGTTAAGTCAGTAATGTATAATATTTTTCAAAGTTCAGTGAGTAATGTATAACATTTTTCAAAGTTCAGTAGCCAAAACTCGATATTTTAAACTTAAGTGATAATCGAACAAAACTCGACATTTTAAACTTAAGTGATAATCGAAGACATGGACTTAAGTTCAGTGACTAAAATTCGACATTTTAAATTTTAGTGACCAATTAAAGACATAGACTTAAGTTCAGTAACTATTGAAACAATTAATTTGAAAGAATTGTGCAAAAGGGAAGTTGACATAAACCAAACAAGGCTTAATAGTAGGTGGGTGTTGGTGGGCATAGCATTTTCATAATTTCAATTCCAACAAAGTTTGATTTTAAATTTTCAACCTATTATTTGTTGCTACGTAAGTGTCCAGTCAAATTCCCAACAAATGCATTTGAAAAGGCAGATTATTTTGTTCGTGTTAGAGAAGTTAGTGAGTTCTAATCTTATCTTTTATTATAATATAATTGCACTATTAATCTTGAAGATTTTCTTACTATCTATATAGTTGCCGCAAATTTTAACACATTCAATTTTATGAATTTAGGTTTTGTTTATAGTATTTGGTTTGTATCTAATTTTTTATTTTATTATTATTAATATTTTTACAGTGATTTATAATTTTATGAGAGTCAGTCACGTGACGATTAAATAAAGATTTGGACCATTTTGGAGATAGTGGATTGATTGCATGCAATGTTTGATGATCAACTTGTTCCTTTACAAATGTTATGGACTAATTTGCGACTTGAACAATAAATTAGAGGTGATAATTTTTCTAGAATATTATTTAATTTCTCCAAATATGTTTGTCGCTGATGATAAATTTATATTTAAATATCGATATTGATTAACTTATAGTATAAGTTCTGCTCGAGTGGAACGGTTGTTGATGCTCTATTTCTTCTCTTCCTCTTGTTGGTGAGTTACCTCTTCCCCTTCTAATCAAGAATTAAAATATACTATATTATTCACAACATATTTTTTAAATATATATTTTTGAATTGAAGAAAAGGACTATGATATAAATTACAGAATTGGTGTGGATAAAAATATAGAAAGT